CTCTCTCTCTCTCTCTCTCTCTATATATATATATATATATATATATATATATATATTTATTCTATCCATACTATTTTTCAATGATTAAACTTACTTTATCGATATTTTTCTTAAGCTTTTTATTTTCTTCTCCCGAACTATCATTCTCTTCAATAATTTCTTTTGTAATTGCGGTTTTAACTTCTTTTGGTTTTCTAGGTTTCCTTGTTCGTGTCTGAAACGGAGATCGAATGTGTATACTGAACAAAATTTTGTGTATACACTTAAAATAATAATTTGAAATTTGACGAGGAAAAAAAATAAATAAATGGTAATATAAGAAAGGGATAATACGTTTTTTTTTAAATATTAAGCAATTTGTTTGAGAGAGAAGAGAAAGGATTGAGAAATCTGAAAAGGGGGAAAAAAATAGGGGAGAAAATAGAATTAAGAAATTAAGAAATAAAACCAGAAGAACTTACCACGCCATGCTTGAAATCCATTTGCTTTTTAAGAACTTTTAATAAGTATTCAGCACGAGCAGTTACTCGTTTGAACTGAACCTTACTAAAATTAGGAAGAATTTTATCAGTAAGTTTTAAGCTAGCATCTGTTTTGATAGCTTCCCAAGAGCCCATACCATGTTGGTATATCCCTCTCAAAAGTCTAGAATCATCTTCGATACTCCAATCGCAGTCAAAGTTAGCTGGCTTAACTTTTATATCAAGATGCCAATTAGCCCTTTGTTCAGCATCTGAGGGAAGTGCTTGATCTAAAGGTTCCAATTCTTTGACAGCAGCAGAAAATGATTTAGCGTTTACCATAACGCCACCCATTTTAAACGTAGGACCTCTTCCTCTTTTACGACCAGGTCCTTTACCCTCCTCCTCGCCTTTATTCTCTTTGGCAGTGCTCTCAAATTCAGATAAGCAAGCCTCACAACGAGATTGCAACTGTTCACCCAAATAACGTAACTCTGACATTGGTTTCTCTTGTAATTCAGCATCTGCAGCAATGTCGTCTAATCTTTTCAAAGGTGCTGTAAATTTCTTATAACTTTTCACAAATTTTCGAATTTCCGCATCTGTAAAACTCTTTATATTTTCGCGAGGTGTTACTCTTGGTCTTCCTCTCTTTTTAGGTCTTTCGTCGTCGCTACCTTCAACTTCGCTGCCAGATTCTTGTTCCTCTTCGCTGTCATCTGGTGTCTTTTTTCTTTTTCTACCTTTCCCATCTCCAGTTTGATTGATTTGTTGAAGAGTTTTACGACTTCTAGGCGGAAGGTAAAGATCTTCCATTTCTTTAGACTTCTCCTCTTCTTCAATCTTTTTACGGAAGTTTTCGGGTATTATCTCAGCCCAGTCTTTACTTTCATCATCGTTATCGTTAGGTTGGCTGACAGGTTCTGATTCTTCTTCGAATGCGGCAAAACTTGCTACTTTAAATGCAGACAACAATTCATCTCCTACAGTAGCAGGTCCTTCATCCCTGGTTTCAGCTCTTCTTAAAATTTCATCAATATCGCACGTAGGTTCTTCATCGCCGTCCTCTTCATCTTTAAATAATTCTTCCGCGCCGAATTTTAAAATGGCATTTAAGTCTTCTTTATTAAATGGATTATTATTGGTCCCCGCATTCTTTTTATCCAAAACTGTTCTTCCAGTTGTATCCATCCTTTGGATAACCAAATGGTCAAGTACCATTTTTTGTTTCGCTCGTTCAACTATTTCTTCTTCGACAGAATTTTTTGTCACTAATCTGTATATATTAACCTGATTTTTCTGTCCGATTCTATGAGCTCTAGCTTGAGCTTGTAAATCATTTTGTGGATTCCAATCCGAGTCAAAAATAATTACTGTGTCAGCAGTGGCAAGATTAATTCCAAGTCCACCAGCTCTCGTTGATAGTAAAAAACAAAAATCTAGCGAACCTTCGGCATTAAAATGATCTAAGGCTTGTTTTCTCAATTCACCTTTTATACTTCCATCCAATCGTTGAAATGGAAAATGTCGTTTTTGTAGATATTCTCCCAGAATATCCAACATTCTAACCATTTGACTAAATATTAATACTCTATGTCCGGTTTCACGAAGTCTGACTAAAAGTTTATCCAAAAGTACCAATTTTCCTGAACCTCTGATCAATTGCTGTAGATAATCTTCATTATTATCTTTTCTTTCACTTTCAGTCGGTTTAGTTAAGAAAGCATGATTGCAACATTTCTTCAATTCTATTACTATGTTAAGAAATGTCATAGTCGAGCCTTTAACACCCTTGCGCAAAGCATTGTAATTTTTGGTCAATATCCACTTGTAATATTGTTTTTGCAAGGACGTCATTTCTACGCGTAGAATCTGTTCGACTTTAGCTGGCAAGGACTTCTCTACGTCTTTTTTAACGCGTCTTAAAATAAAAGGTTCTAATTGTTTATGTAACTTAGAATAACCTTTCTGTGCAGCATTATCGTGTTCCTTTTCAAATTCTTCCCAAGAATTAAATTTGGCAGGCATTATAAAGTGAAGCAAAGCCCACAATTCCTTCAAACTGTTTTGTAGTGGAGTACCGGTTATTAAAAGACGATGATTGGTATGAAATTCGGACAAAGCTTTATAAAGGAGAGAATCATCGTTTTTTAATCTATGAGCTTCGTCGACTAAAAGCACTGCCCAATTTAAGGCACCCAAAAATGTTTTATCTTTAAGTACTATCTCGTAGGTTGTAAGTATTGCATTAAATTTTAATCTTTTAGAACTATAGCACCATTCGTGGTCTCGTATTACATTTCGAGATGTTACATCACCCAAATAAGTAACAAAATTCATGTCAGGTGCCCATTGGGCCATTTCCCTTTGCCAGGAAGTCATTGTTGAAAGAGGTACTACTAATAAAAACGGTCCGTGAAGTTGATGTGTATGAAATAGATAATAAAGGAAGCATATAGTTTGTATTGTTTTTCCGAGGCCCATTTCATCTGCCAAAATGACACTGTTTTCTTTACACCAAGAATGAATCATCCAATTTAGCCCATCCATTTGGTAATCTCTTAGGACTAATTCTTTTCCTTTTCCCATATATTCAGGTTGGCCTTTCAATTGATGAAATTTAGGTCTAGTTCTAAGCACTTTGCAATGCTTACTTGGTGTTCTTTTAGAATCTTCTCTATCACGAAATTCTTTGATTTTCTCGGGCCATTTTTTTATTATCAATGCACCATCTTCCCACGTAGAATCGGCATACGATGAACTTTCCCATTTACAGTAATAATCAGGATGTCCCGAATCTGGCTTATTGTATTCAGCTACGACACAAATATAAATAATTACGATTTTGCATAAATAAAATAAAATATTTGTAGAAGTACAATAATTTTATAACTTACCAATAATTCTTTCCACATTGTTATAACTTTTTAAAAGTTCTTGCTGCAATTCATACTGACACTCAAAATAGTCGATATCCTCAGGTCCTGCATTTTCTCTCCATTGTTTTATATCTCGTTCGCGTTTAATAAAATTATCTAATTTCTTTAACCCTTTAACCTATAAAATCAATATCAATATGATTAACCTCTTGCGCTGGCAGCGAATTAGAAGATGCGCACGCCAGAACGTTCTATCATATCTAACAGAAATTTTGAAAACTGAATTTGAAATTTGTAGTTTAGAAAAATTTTTTCTAAATGTGATGCTGTTGCAAATGTGTTACATAATAACAGAAAATGAAATGGAATCACTAAATACGCTTTACACAGTTATTAAATAGTAAGGATATCAAAGTATATCAATAAATTTAATAAATATAAGTTAAATACCTTTTGTGCTTTTAAAGAATCTTCCGATTCCCACGTATTATGTATATGCGACCATCCTTTCCATTTAATTAAATATTGTTTTTCAGTTTCTTCTCCACTTAAATTCTTCGGATTAGGATCGCCATTTTCTTCTACTGCATAAATTGTGGTTACATTTCCTGTAACTGTTAAAAAAATGTTAGAAACAGATATTATTAAATACTAATTTTTATATGTATTATAATTAATTTGAAATAAAACTTACCACCCTTTTTCCCTATTCTTTGTCTTATAATTTTTTCAATTGTTTCCGCATTATCAGGTTCTGCATTAGCAGGTGCCGCTTCATCGACTTCCACCAAGTCTTCACTATCAGTACCTTCTTCGCTCTCTTCTTTATAGCTAACAGCGGTACCTGTTCTTCTTGTAACTTGCCTATATTTTCAAATATTTAATATTATTCACATGTTCAATAATGTACACAATAATAAATTACCTATACTAAATAATATGTATGATACTTTCTATATGAATAGAATATGAATAGTACCTTCTGTTATCATCGCTGTCAAATGATGAATTATCAGAAGATTCAGAAATTCGCTTTTTACGTGTTCTAGCTTTTTCCTTAGCTTTTTGTGCTGCACGCCTGTTTAAAGATTTGCTAGGTGGTGGTCGTCTATTTTCAGCTTCATCAGATTCTGATTCAGAGCTTTCAGAATTCCATGAATTGTGTGAACTAAAATAGATAAATAGCTGTTAATTATCAGAAATGTTTTCTAAATATTTTTAAAAAATCATCACGTGAACTGTACTGAATTACGCGAATTGATATTTAAAAAAAATATATATATGTATATGTATATTACATTTATGCTAAATAAATAATTTTTTTTACATATTACAGCAATAAGAAATCAATTTAATTTTTTTTTTTTAAATTTCATGGATTTGTATATATATAAAATATATAATCTAAATTACTTTTAATTTATATATGTATTTGCTTGCTGATAATTATACACTGCAAAATAGTACAAATCTGTATATTTTGTTTGAAATTACCATGATTTATAAATATATCAGTGATTAAATAAAATATAAAATAACTGTAAAATTAATGTGTAAAAAACTGATCAAAAGCATTAATAATTTAAAAATAAATAAATTAAGTAATTAAAAAAATGTAGATAAATTTAGTGTTAGAATTGACACACTCATATATATGATTGCCACATAGTATACAATGATCTACATGACACATGATGTGAGTATTCAATGCCAAGAAGCACAAAGAAAAACAAGCACAGGATAATAACACTATATATGTGTATCTATAAAGTTATATAATTCAAGTTATTAAACAAATTTTTTTTTTTATATATATATAAATTATTTTATAAACCCATTAAATAGAGTTCGATCAATCAAAGTGGTTCCATCGTTGTCTCTACTTACCTCTTTTTCTTATATCTCTTGCGACCTTCACTGTCGCTTTCGCGCTGGGTTGCAAGCCTCTCTGGCTCTTTTCTAGAACGTCCAGATCTCCTAATGCCATAAATATCAGGATTCTCGTCCCATTCACGACTAGACTCATTTTTAAGCCTAAGTTTTGTTTCTGTGCTGTGATTAGAAGATTTGCTTTGTAAACTATCACTCTGTGCAGGTGCATCCAATTGCTCTGATTTTTCAGAGTCTGAACCTGATCCTGAACCGGAGCCACTCGAGGAACTAGAGTCACTGAATGAGCAGCCAAGCAATTTTTTATGTCACTACTTTAGCAATGATTATTGTATTATATCTTGAAATATATCTATCATTAAGAAACATACAATTCTTTTGTGAAAAGTTCAAATATATATATATTATACAAATATTTCTCATTAAAATTTAATTCTTCATTGTCATTTGCTTTATATAAAAAAAATAAGTTACACTTATCAAGATAACTATTAAAATAGTATTAATTGTCTAATTAAAGGGATATATTTCAAGTTATTATGTAAAATCAACTGATTTGCTTTTATTTCTTCTAGAGATATATTGCTAATGCCTCAATATAACAAAGATTAATATGAAAGATAATGATGATCTAATATGACATAAATACAATTAAGAATAGACATTTCAAAAAAAAAAATTAAAGGAAAAATAAAAAAGTGTGATCACAAAAACTCAATGGAATACACATAGTTAGCAATACCATGAAGGCAAATGTTAGTGCTATATCAAGCTATAGCAATACACAATGAACTGAATGGCATATTATCTATCCTGTATATATCAGATAGTCAAAGTACGCATTATATTACATTTGTAGAAACAATAAATTTTTCAAATTTTTGGATTAAAATCAAATTAATTACTGAATTCTTTCTTTTGTATTAAAGCAACATCAAGTGATTCTCATATATTGTCTTAGTATTATATTGATCTAGTTATCTCATTGTGAATAAAATTAATGTCGTACCAGACTTTCCAATTTAACAAGGAATATATATTAGAATATAATACACACCTATCTGAGCCAGAGCCAGATGCTGAATTGCTTCCAGAAGAGGAACTATCGCTTTTACTTTCATTTTCAGAATCTGAGCCAGATTCCTTACCGGATTCAGAGTCAAATGTTTTCTGTAATATGATAATATCTAATACTATTTGTTTTTAAATCTGTACGATTTAACCCCCAATGTTGTTTGGAATAAAATTATAATACATATATATATATACATATATATTTCATTCTTATCAATGTTAAATACATCTTATAAGATATACATCTATAAAATTAAAAAATGATTCTTCTCTTCTCTTCATAAATCTATTATCTCATCCTACTGCCATCTATGTGGAAGATAAATTGTCTTCCATTTTATGGAATATGTCCACCATTTTAAGAACAGAAAATCAAACACAAAAATTAAGAAATTTTCATTTGTATAGTCAGTCAGATGACTAACAAATGAGACATAGATATTATACGTAATAGATAAATAAAAATAATGAATAATTTATCTAATATATCGAGATAGTTATTTTAAGATAATTAAGCATTTTTCTTAACAACCCCAATATTCAATCACTTTACTTAAAAATATTTAATCCTATAGTTTACATTAATTTCATCTAAACTTTTTTCTATACTATATTATAAGGTACATGGGTTCCATAAAAAATAATATACTTCACTATTTTAATACTGGAACATTTTTATTAAATTATTCAGGAAATACATCGGCAACTTAGTTTACCCTGAATTTTAAGATTAAAATATGTGTGTGTATCTATAGATATATTTGATGAGAGGAAGTTAATATTGCTAGTAATGCAGTACTTGTGTGTAAATTTAAATATACTGTTTCTTAAAGGATCATTAGTATGATAATTAAATTAATATTATGCAATATTTATTTAATTCTCGGCACAGATAATGCTAACTCTTTTACAAATTCAGTTTAAGCCTTGTAAAATTAAATAAAATCATATATCATTTTTGATGATAAAACTTTTTGGTACCATTTTACAAGTGTTCTTTATATAAAATTGGATTGTTTAATATTGGTATATACACAGAATGTAATAATATTAATCAAACATGATTTTGCATTATTACATATATGTATAATAAAAATACCATAACGTAATTAAAAAATGATTCTTGAACTCTTAATCTTGATAGATCATCTATTGAAATACGATAATAATATCAATTAAAAGCTACTTTTCTAATGCAAGTAAAAAATATCCTGAGTTTAGCAAACACAGTAACCTTATTTTGATATAGCAAAGAATATTTTATATCAAAAATTATTGTTCGCTGCTTTCATTTCTTTCATAATTTACCATTCGAAAGTTTGTAACGCTGTTAAAATTAATAACAGAATTTCTCTCTACTTACAAAATTTGTAAATATTTAATGAAAATGTTAAATCCGATGTGTTGACCATATATATGTTTTCTATAATCATTTTAATATGATAATCGGTATAATAAACACAATTTTAATTTTACTTTTGATGTATATTTTTATACTTCGTCGAATAGATTATAGAATTGTTTTTTTTCATTCAAGACGATACGTATAATTTATTTGCACACATTGTCTTCTTTGATTAGTCTATTAAATGAGAAAAAAGAAGTATGATAGGAAGAATATCTTTTACACAAAAAAAAACATACCTTCAGAAATTGATTTACATTAATGAAAATTGTTAAAACCAATACAATGTGCATTATTAAACTCTCTAATAATTGAAAAATGAATTTAAAACTTAATAAGATGATAAAATACATGGCATATTTTCAATATTTCCATGATGAAACGAGTAAAATTAGTATACATTATACCAGTGACAGTGGGTATTATAGACAAACCATACATGAAGATCTTTGAGCTTAATTTGCAAAAATGGGTCTGTTTTAAATTTTTGAATAACCATGGTATCTGGTTGAAGGATAATACAAGGAATAATTTTTAACGAAAATTAGGGTGGAACACGGATATTTTAAGTGATAAATGTAAACTTGAATCAATGTAAACAAACTTATAGGTTATTAAGAGGCTGGAAAACTATGTAAAATTGTGGAAAAGTGTGACTATGAAGAATCAAGTCCCTGAGCTCCCGAGGTCCATTGGACCCCGCCCTACGTGAAAAAATATCAATAGTTAATAATAAATAATTTTTTATATTTTTATAAACCTTTTAAATCGACGACAAGAGTTGTAAAGCCGCGTCGTCAAATATGAATTATTTTCTCCTTTATTCCAAACAACATCGTGGTCGTATATCGTTAATTGTTTTATCAATATTACGGCCAATCTAATTTGGGCGCGGAAAACAAATAATTATCGATGGAAAAATCCAAATTAATGAAGAAAATCGAAGAATTTTCGAATCCCGTCCACTCACCTGCATCATATCGTCTACGCGTCGCATCGAATCTCGAATAAATGAAGCACCACGCACAATATCACGTTAATTTAAGAAAAATAAACTAATTCGCGCACACGTGTTCGCAATATTAATCGACTAATGATGTACAGCGTCGCGACATCGTGCAAAGTTATTGAATTTTATCGTACTATATGTTCACAGACCTCAGCTTCGTCTCCATTTTGTAAGATTCTCACTCGTTCTTTCGCCCTCCCCCATCCGTCGTCCCAGCATGCAACGTTCGACCTGTCCCCTACTAATCGACTACAGCGCCCTCAAACTTCCTCCACACTTCTTTATCCTCCCAAATAAATTTAACAAATCAAAAAATATATTTTTACTATAAAAATTAACCAAAATATATCTTGTCCTTTATATAATATTATTTTTCTGATTCAAATCTTTCATTTTTCTTCTCATATTAATTACGTATATACTATACATCTTTAAGTAAATTACGAAACGGAAATAGTTGTTAAGACAGCCATTTTTATTACTCACGGAAATTTTACCCAGAATGCACGGCGTCAGTTTTTCGATATTATCCAGTCAAATGCGCAATTAACATAAAATCTTATACGACGCGGTCACGTACTACATGCATATTTTTGCACCGTTAGAACGAGATACTTTCTTATTTTTTTTTTTTCTTTTTTTTTTTTTGAGACATGATCTGTACGTAACTTATTTTTGATATTTGAAAATTGGAAAAGACAAAACAATTGAGACAACGAAATATTTCTTTAAAATCGAAAAAGAACTAGAAATTCGTAAAAAGCTAGAACTATAAGAGACAAGTGCTGCGTTAAATTTCATTTTGTACCGTTGGCAACGATTTTTCCAATCGAACAATTACTGAATTTTCACAATTAAATACATTTAAATGATAACACAGAAAAATTCTTACGTTATGCTATTCCAATAATTCGACATGATGACACACAATATGTTTCAAGTTTAATCAAAAGACGAGCTCAGGGAACTTATAATATTCTCTAGGTCACACAATGAACGAACCAATGGGCACTGGAAAGATGGCAACGACTATAATAAACGAGTAATTATAATAAACGAGTAATAATAATAAACTTTGTATGAACGTTTAGAGTTGATATGAAACGTCGATTTGACACCATGCAAAGTATGTGTACATGTGTGAGAAAGAGAGAAAGAGAGAGAGAGAGATAGAGAGAACGTTCGTAAAATGGCTTCTTTCCTCGAAATGACGTTAATGAATACAACGAAGTTAACGAAAAAAAAAATATATAGGTATATTTATCTGCCGTTTTCCATCAGATTGGGTAATTTACGTTAAAAAAAGGCACGTTAAATGTCCTAATAATAATTTGTTTATCATCTAAGATATAAAATAAAATAAAATGAATGAAAATAATATAATTTTAATGTTGCTAAGTGTTACCCGTTCCAATGAAAATCAGCCTGCGTCTTTCGTAGTATATGGAACTAACGTATAATGACGAGAATGAAAGACGAAAAATATTACCCAAAGACCCGTGGCACATCGCACCGGAAAAGGAAGGCCTGGCCGAGAATTCGAGACACGATGCTTCGTCATTTCCAGTCGACAGTAACGCCGCCTTTCTCTCGAATAAACGAAACACTACACTCTGCATCTCATATTTGAACTTTCATCAAAACATAGAAATCGATCAGATCATAAACTAACTATTAAGAGTAGTAGTAGATATAGAGTACTACTTTTACCTTGACTAAATTTAAAATACATGTGTGCGTGTATGCATAACCATAAATTCTATTTTCACAGTTTCACTATTTTTGGCGATTGAGATTAAAGATGTTGGTCGATAAAGATTTTTATTTACACAATTAATAATATGAAAATTAACATACATTGTGTAATGTACATATTACATATCGGTCATAAAATCATCAAATGTGTGAAATAATGAGACATGTTGCAGCGTAAAGAATATATGTAACACATATTCTATACGTTTTAAGATTAGTATATACATTCAGAATGCTTTTTTCAATACTGTTTTTCTTTTTTTTTCTTTTTTACGAATTACATTCAAAGTACAATTACGAATATTAGACGAAAGGAAAGTATTGTTGTATTTAATATAATTGGACTAATGATCGTTATTTCTTGCATTTTCACTGCTTTGTGTTATTAGTTGAAAGAATTCCAATAAAAAAAAAAAAAAAAATATACTAAGTATAATAAAAATAATTCTCAGTCTCTGATAACAATTAGATGAACTTTACAGCTTGTTCTACGACAATGATTATTATAATTTTCTTTTAAATAAATCATACAAAGGATGAAATTATCCTTTTATTTTTGTTATATTTCTTGCGAATAATTTTATTTTTTAATTAATTAATTAATATCTATAGCGAATTTTCATAAAATATGACTTAAGTCAAGTAGTATCTTAACAAAGAGAAAAAGAAAATAAATGGATGCAAAAGCAGAGCTTAGTTGAAAAAAAGTGTTATTCCGGATCGGGTGTACCTGTAATTTCTTCTTTTCCATTTTGCTCTTGTTCTTCTTTTTCTTTAGCTTTAGCATCCGGTACCCAAAGACCGCTATCAATACAACGCTTCATATGATATCTAGCTTCATCTTCAGGCATAGCGGCTATTGTTTGTTGCAATAATGGTATGTCTTGCGCTTCAAAACACTGTTGTAAAGGCTAAAAAAAATAATATCATTTTATTAAATTTATTAATTATACTTTTTTTTGTATTTCATATAAAAATAATTGATTTTTATTTTTTATACCTTAGGAAGACTTTCAAAAACTTCAACAGGATCAAGACCTCCAGGGCCAAGTCTCTCTTTTCTTTCTTCTTCTTCCGCTTCTCTAAGTGCATCTGCAACCTTCTCTGCAGCACGTTTGCGTATTCTATTCTTAAATGCTCTAAGTTCTTCATCAAACGAATTCTTATATTCTACTTCAGCAACTTGTATACGACTGAAGAATGAACTAACGCAAGCTCTAGGGTCAACATCTAATTGCTTAGATAGTTCTAATATATACTGCATGCATATACATTGATGAGCAATGTGTTCCATTAAGTCATGTTTCTGCAATTACATAAAAATAATGTCATTTAGAACAACTGTTTTCAAAGAATTATGTAATAATTCACTTACTTCTTCCATTTCTAAATTAATGCACCAAATGACTAAATAATTAGCTGTATTCTCGCAAACTATTTGCGGATGTTCCAATAAGAATTTCTTACTATCATCGTATCTTCTAAGCATTCCAAATTCTTTCAACTGTTTCTCATTTTTCTTTACAAATTGCTTCATTCTTTTCTCCTTTTCTTCATCTGAGAGAGTGGAATCATCATCGTTTCGAGCTGGTTTTGTGTTTATTACGGTTTTGGTAAAACCATCTTGACCAATCGTATCTACATTCCATGGTGTCAACTTTTCCTTTTTTTTCATTTCATCTTCTCTTGCTTTTATTTTTTTCTCTTCTTCTTCAAGATCTTGCAAAACTTTTTTCAATGCACTCAAATCTGCCGAATCCTTTTGCTCGTTTTCTAGCCTTGCAAGTTTTTCTTTAGTTTCTTTAAGTTTTTTCATATGTCTAAAATGTTAGTATGATTAGCGTTTGAAATATTTTTACAATGTTAGCTTATCATTTATATTAGGATTATAGATAGCTTTATACATCTGAGAATACAAAATGTACATGTTTTTATTCACATACTCAATCTTTTTCCTTTCGTGTTCCTCCTGTTCTCGTTTTCTTTCTTCCATACGTTCCACTCTTGCTTGATGACGCCATCTAAACAAGGACGGTGTATCAATGTTAGGATGAGTATCATCTTCGTCGTCTGAAATCTAAGTATTACATATTTCTGTATTAATGTAAAGTATTCTATTAAGTTAATTACTAAACATTTTAAGTTAATCAAACAGTAAAATAAAACACAATACTTTCAACAACTTTAATGGATTGTTGTATTATCATTGAAATATTTGTTAACTAATAACAAAAATAAAAAAATATAAAACCAACTCATAAATATACATATTAAAAATAAAACGAACTAATAAAAAAGAAATGATTTATGAACGATTTACAAAAATAAAAGAACGAAAAATAACGTTCGCTATCAAAGTAAAGTATCTGATAATATATTTAATAATAAAATAACTTTTATCTTTCTAGAATATTCCACATGCATTCAGGAAGAAAAGGATTAATAAATTCTTACCTCAATATCCTTCCATTTGCTGTAATCGACCATTTTATTTTAGCACAGTACGTCAACACCCACACTATTGAAATTTGTTTTTTAAATCGATCGTGAAAATGAAACTTCTATTTAAACAAACAGTTGATCCTGTACACTGAACTCGCCGAAGTTGGTTGTCGACTATTGCAATGACCTGAACATTGCGCTAATCTGTTTGCGATATGAACTCTCGATATACGACAACTGTAACCAATCGACATTTTATTTTATAATTATTTTATATATATTTATTTTATTTATAAAATAAAATATAATAATTTTTATATATTTCTCTATTTTTTATAAATGATTTTTAGTTTCTATTTAAATATTCCTGCCATTTTTTATCTTATTCGCTACAGTGCATCAATACACACGATTAAAAAAAATCTATATGTATATACCTTTTCATACATGTGTGGGTGCGTGTATAAAGTATTTAAAGAAATTTAAATGATATTCTTTGTTAATGAGATGTTATTAATTTTATTCAATTAAATTTTAAGTTATAATTAATGTGTAATGTTAACTTATAATTGATATACAAGTTTTATTTTGAAGTATTGATGTTTTAGAAATATATGTGGTGATAAAAATTTGATAAAAAGTAAGTACGCATATATATAAAGTTAATATATATATATTATATATATATAAGATATACATATGAATACGACTCCTTTTATATATATGACTATTTACTATATAAAACAGTAGTAAACATGTGGAATAGCATAGCATAAGTAGTCAAGAAGCCGGTTTAACTAAATTATTCTATAATATATTTGTTTTTATATTTAGTGAATATGATAGGAATGAGAATGAATGCTTTTAATGATTCTGGACTCGGAGAACCCGAACAAGATGCTAATAGTGCCCTTATTGAATTAGATAAAGGTTTGTATATGTACATTTCTAACCTTAAAATATATTAATTAATTTAAACCTTTTTGTATAAAAGCCAACTTGTTGAACTTAATTTTTATTTATACTGTTAGCATACAAATTAAGTAAAAAATATATTTTATGTTTAGGTTTGCGATCTAACAAAATAGGTGAACAATGCGAAGCAATAGTTCGCTTTCCTCGGTTATTTGAAAAATATCCATTTCCAATACTGATAAATTCATCTTTGCTGAAACTGGCAGAAGTATTTCGTATGGGTAGTAATTTTCTAAGAGTTTGGGTTCTTAGGGTATGTCAGCAAAGTGAAAAACATTTGGATAAAATATTAAATGTTGATGAATTTGTCAGACGTATCTATAGCGTTATTCATTCCAATGATCCGGTAGCTAGAGCTCTTACTTTACGTACTTTAGGTAGTGTAGCAGGAATTATACCTGAAAGACAACAGGTAATATTTCTGATATAATTTATTTCTTTATATCTAATTCCTTTTTTTAAATAATTATGATATTTATTTGAAGGTTCATCATAGTATAAGAAGATCTTTGGATTCTCATGATTCAGTTGAAGTAGAAGCTGCTATATATGCTGCTCAAATGTTTGCAGCGCAATCCAAATTATTTGCTGTATCAATGTGTAGCAAAATTTCGGACATGATCAGAGGTCAAGCAACGCCAGCTTCTATGAAATTACAGCTTATACCTATTCTCCAATATATGCACCATGACACGTTCACTGCATCAATGGTATTAAAAATATTTAAAAAGTTTATTTATTATATAAATATAATATGTAGATTATTAATTGAAATATGTATTTGTTAAAGGTAAATGAATTATGTATGGAACTTCTTGCCAGTTATCCTGCGGTTGAATTTGTAAGAGTAACACTGAGTGCGCTGAGCACTTTAGCTTCTGCTACATTAATAGATATTCCAGAACAAGTTGTATTACTTTTACGATATCTTCATGACGACCCTCGGTTATCTATTAAACGTCATGCTTTACATTTACTTCATACTCTTGCAAGACATGGTGCACATTTGTGGCCGCAAGGTGCTCTTAATAATTTGATTGGTTAGTATTGCCATTTTCTGCTTATTAACCCTTTGCACTCCGAATTATATTTTAATTTTGTTACCAGTAGCGCTTCCAATGCTTTAAATATTTTATTTGAAATTTACTTTAACTAAAAAATATGGCAATTTAAATATATAAAGAAAGAAACAAAATCATTTAAATTTCCGATTTATTTATATTATTATTGTATTTTGTAATTTCTAAGGTTATGATATCTTTTGAGATAAAAACTGATGTTGAGTCACACTTGACATAGAAGTGCAAAGGGTTAAAATACGTTATTACTTTTTATTTAATTTTGTAATATATTCATATTTTTAGAAAGTACTACAAAATTATTACAAGATGGTACTGGAAATACAGATCTTTTGGTTCGCACATTGGATGTAATAGAGGTAAAGTACTGTTTTTTATATAATTATTATTATATTTTTGTATATGCAAATAATAATGAAAATAATGTTTCAATACAGGTATTAAGTCAAAGTGCTATTACGTGCGATGCTAATATCGAAGAAGGTAGTCCACTTTTATCCCTTTGCGTAAATGCTTGTTATTCTCCAGATCCTTTCGTTGCTGTCAAAGCTGTAACTATATTATCAAGGGTTATATGTTATTGGTATGAAAATAAAAAGTATTACAATTTGAAGTTTAATTATAGAGTAGTGAAATTACATTAATTATCTTGATCAATAGCTATGAAGAGGGATTACCAACATTTGCCTCTGAAGATCTTGTATCCTGTTTGGAGTCATTGATTATTTTATTAGCCTTAGATGACAAACATTTACATCAACTTAAAGCTTGTCTACGTTTAACGGTAAAACTGTGCCATGCACAACCTAGTCATTGTCCTGTTTTTGTTGATGCTATTGGATCTACGCTTATTAGCACTAGCTCAGAAAATGGACAAAGTGAAAAACAAGCAGTCGCATTATGCGAAGCTTTAGGAGCAATCGGAAGTTTAGGAGAAAATATATTACTACCACTTTTGCCGGATGTATTAATAAAGCTTAAACAGACTTTGCATATGCATACAAAGGTTTGTATTTCTTGTTAATAATTATTATCTTATCGTTCCTTATTCTGTTCGCTTGTTCTTGTAGGTAATGTTATGCACATTGCTTTTCCAAATGATAGCAGGTGGATACGAATGGAATTCCGAATGTTTGAAAGCTATAGAAGATACGATAAAAAGTGTCGATGGTTGGTCTAAATATCGAATTGCAAGAGGTGCTGCTAGATACGGTCATCATATAGTTGCAACGCAAATATTCAAGAGTTTAAAGGAAGCTGTTGCATCCGAACAACTTCATTTTTGGTTATCAGGATTGGAATTAGTTACTAAAGCAGAAAGTTTTCTCATGTGAGTAATATTTTAATAACAGTGTATACCGAATATGATAATGTGAATTATTTATTTTATATTATATATTTAAATTATATATATATAAAGGGACAATATCGATGCGATGGATACCTCAAAGAAAGTGGACATTGTTGAAAAATTAAATGCTGCGATCGCGCACTATGCAAGTGCTTGTGCATCATTGAAAGCTGCTAGTACACCTTTACGTAGTCTACAATTTGCCAGTGAATATGCAAAATTGCGTTGCGAATTTTTACAAGCTGCGATACAACTTTTACATTCTTGCAGGTAAATTAAACTCCTTAATAAATTATAGTCGCTTACTATAATAACTCGTATTATTTCTTTTTAGATCTTTATGTACTGCACCGCCACCTGCTATCGCGTGCACAGTAGTTCTAGCAACAAAAGATGATCTTCAACGATACGGGCGTGTAACGTTACAGGTATATACAATTTTAAACAAAAATAATATACGAAATGTGGGATATTTAATAGGTAAATTTAATTAATTTAATTTGAACATTGTATAGCTAAGAAAATCAGTCCAAGAGTTGAAGATTTGTGCTGAAAATTATCAGAAATTGTATCAATCCGCTTTCGATGCAGATCCTGGTTCCTTAGCAAATATTAGAGCGTATCCTTTAAATGTAAATATATTAATAGAATTCTCAACTTCCTAACTAATATTTTTCTTTAACACATACTTCTACAGTTTGCAAGAAATGTGTTGTTTAATGGGAAACAGTGTAGAAAGAATTTGCGGTGGGTCAACCATATGTATGTATCAACAAAACGAAGTGAATTTTGATTTCGGCGGAACGGTAGAAATGCGTCAATTGGCTCGTTATTGTACGGAGTTGCGTCGTCTTTCACCACCATGGGTGGGTGAAGGGAAAGCAGGTGGTATCAGTCACGTAAGGGTCGGCTGTATAATATCGCAAGTTATGTTACTTGGTGCTGGAAATATGAGACTACCAATTCCGCGTTACTTCTTCCAAGCTTTGCAAGCTACTAGCGTCAAACTTTCGGTATCACCGCAACCTCGCGTACTGGGAGAACCAGTTTCCGTACCCCAGGGTAGTCAATTAGCATTAAAGGTCGAGGGTGTGCTACGACATGGTAAACGCGCATCTTTGTATCGTTCAGTCTCAGCTGTGTGCATTTCTATATCTACTACGCCTCCTTCCAAAATCAATTCGGATCAAAAAGTAAATAAAAGAAACATATTTTGTATAAAAAAAAGTTATTCCTGTTATAAATTATATCCATTTTTATACACAGGATACAAACATGAACGAGCTACATCAAACGGTAACACCACATCGCGATTTTTTCGCTTGCGAATTTTTACTATCTCTCGGAAGTGTACCGGCTTCGACTGTAGGAGGAGCAGGTACCTCAACCAATACCGGCAATTCGCAACTTGGTGGTGGTCAATACCAAGTAACAGCAAGTGCAAGTATACTAGATAAAGATGGAAACGTTTGGAAGTGCGGGCCACGTTCTACCCTTCAAGTGCGAGTGCACGAGGAACCTATGAAGAGAAAATTACCATAGTGACACTTATAGATTAATATTAATATTAATATTTAAGTAAATTATGTAATTATTAACAACTTGTATAATAATTTGTAATACGATTTTAATTATTTACGATTATATTAACTAATTGCTACAAAGGGTATTATTATTATTTCTTTTTATATTTACACTCTCCTCGTCGATAATTTAAAAAAAATCGCATGCGCGCGTTAAAGCGGCGGGAAATGCGGGCGAATACAAAAGATTGGTAACATTATAACGGTTGGATTCACGCAGAGCAGCCAGAATTCATTGTGTTGTAAGAGTAGAGAGACAAGTAGTCAGAGTCGGCGTGCGAGTAGAAGAGTAGCGTCGAGGGAGGACCATAAAAGGGAGATCGCGAGGGTGCTCGGCGCACAGTCGCGCATCGTCTGCCTTCCTGAGCGTTGCGTGTCCAATCTTGAAGAAATTGTACGTACGATCGCTCATTCTCAACTATTCGCTGAAAGGAGAGAAGCAACAATTATGTATTCCAAGATAATCGCTCCAAGATAATTATTTCCTCGATCGTATCATCGAACTTCGTCACGCGTTTGCGTGCGGTGAGTAAACGTTTTTTTTTTTTTTTAATATAAATAACTGACTTCTTTTTTTTCTATTTTTTCTTGCTTTTTTTTTTTTAATATAAATGTCTCGCATACGATTGCAATTTCATTTAAAAATTCTTATTTTTGTATTATCCGATCATAGATCGTAATCAATTTCCCGCGTATAATATATAGTATCTGTTTAATAATTAATTTATTGTAAGAGTGAAAATTTTTAAACGAATGACAATATTTTCTTTGTAAAATATATCTTTTAGATGTATAATTTATTGTATCGTTAATGAAATAGAAAAATTTGTTAAAAATGATAATTAAATATCGTTGAAAATCATTAGGTTTATACTCGACAATTAAATAACAAGTAACGATGCATTGCCCAGCTTTTAATTCCAATTTACAATTGGTTTTGTATGTATTATCAGAAAAGCCTTTATATTCCTTAGTAGAAAGATACGAGAAGACTCGTAGGGCTTAATGTACAATGACTGTACCTAGACTACTACTATAGCACTATAAGCGTTGCGGTTTAAGCTGTTCTATGTAGAATATATGCGATGCGATTTGAACTGCTCTTCCAAAGAGTAGTTGTGCCAAATGGTTCGCGAACTAATGCTCAAAATTCGAGTACTTCAAATGTTACAACGATGGTTAGACGGACGCACGTGCTTGCGTGAGCAAAAAAAGGAAAAACGATATGTGTATCAAAGGGAATTTTATTTTTTCATAGCTTTTTTTTTTCCTTTTATTTTAAATTTCTTTTTCGACAAGAATTCGTAAAGTAAAATAACGTTGAAACAGTATTTTTCGTGTAAGAATATTTTTGTTATTCCTTTTTCTTTATTTTTTTTTTTTTTTTTACTTCAATAAAATTCGTTTCGTTACCATCGCTTTTATTGGATTTGACAAAATTGAAAGGGAATAAAACAGAGTAAGATTCGGTTTCTGTTCTCATGCATAGAAAATCATATCGGCTTTTGTATATACCTACGCACAATTGCAGATATCTTATTTCTTTCTGTTCGATTGAATTGCCGAGAGGACTCGAAGGAAAAGCACCCTTATGCCATATTTACAATTCCTGCGTAACACTTTACTCGATAAAATGGATTCTTTAGGGTCCCAACAAACGAGTCAAACATTTTATTCTATCAATTATTTTATGTACATGTATAAGATATTCACAATACACTCATAATATACTCACCCACCCTTCTATACTACTATGTATATACATATATATATATATAAAGTATTCACAATTGGTATATAGTTCTCGTATGATTGATATTCAAAGCACGATAAAATCAAATCTCTGGGTATTTTAGAAAATTCAATCGATTAATCTTTTCACCGAGCTTTGTTCACGAAACGTTCAATTTTGCAACCACGCGTTATTTGCTTTTCTCGTTTGCCGTTCTTCGTTCGTCACGTTTATTGGTTATCTATCTCTCATTGTCAGTAGTATTTTGCTCTTAGCTAGTTAAATAATATTAGAAAGGATTACTTAAATAACCCATAAATGACACGAACGATCGACTAATTAAATGAGACTTTCTTTTCCTTAAATTTATCGCATTTATATCTAATCGAAACGCATAATTATTTTCCATTTGATGTTACAAACGAGAAAAGAACAAACGATTATTAAAATTTTTTCATTAAAAGTATCAAAATAGATATTTGATCGTTAAAAATTGCTTTCACGTTCGCGCATGATCATCATCCATGAAAGTTCGAATTAAGCGCGGCTAATACGTTGGCACGTTACTCTCGACGAAGAAGGGATGCGGGGGTTGTGTGAGCAAACGAATAGGTGAACTGAGAGGGTTGAAAGAGAAAGAGAAAGAGATAGAGATATATAGATAGAGAATGTGTTTGCTCGAAGCGACGAAAGTGAACGGCAGAAATAATGGACGACGGGGTTCGGTAGTAGAGTGGCTTTGCGTTTCGTACTAGGCATTTGTTTGAAAGCGACGGCAACGTGCACTGGTAATAAACATGCCGAGCCAGCGGATTGACTGATGATACCATCCACACCGTCGGATGTTATTGGTTGTTCATGGCCAACCGTGAGCAGTTAGCATCGGAACGATGCTGAATATATACACCCTCATCCTCACCCATCCCTCTTATACTATGTTTTGTGTATATATGTATAATATACTCATATATCTACGTTGAACGAACGATCATCGTTCCATCGGTTTTTTCTTATTTTCTTTTTTATCATTTTTTTTTCCGGTTATTTTTTTCTATTTTATTATTATTATTATTCAAATTGTTTGCGTAGAAGAAAGATATCACGAATATAATTGGTTATCCTATTTTCTATTCTAAAAGGGAGAGATTTTAATACCTTTGTTAAGATACAATAGCACGATGCCCAATCGTTGCGGATTTTTCAATAGACATTTTTTGCAACGGATTTACTGGTTCACAAAAGATCAGAGAGAGAGAGAGAGAGAGAGAGACAGAAAGAGAGAGGGAAGGAGGGAGGGAGGGGGCGGGACACGAATGTTTCTTTTCTTTTTCTTTCTATATTAATTTTGTAAGAAAAATTTTTTCATTAAAAATTCTCTTTTCAACTTTTTCGAAGAATTTAAAATAAAAAGGAGATAGCAAGAGTTAGCCAGAGATAGGAGAAGGCAAAAATAGAGTGCGATGAAGAAGTAGATCCCGAGGAAACGCGACGCAGAACGATTCCCTCAGGCGCGATCGTCATTATCATAATTTTTTCTCAATGTCGCCTAACGAACGCGACACCGAATGCGTAGAAGATGGGCTATGCGTGCCAAGAGAGAGAGTGTGTGTGTGCGAGAGAGAGAGAGAGAAAGAGACAAGAGCGTAGAGTAAAATAGTCGTGAACGGGTAGATGGGTGTCGAGGATGAGTTGGTTAGGTATAGGGATGGAGTGTCTGAAGGGGGTGAGATTTGGAACCGAGAGGTGGCTTCCGTATTGTATCTCTCTATGTGTATGTATGTACGTGTGTGTGTCTGTGTGCGCGCACCTCAGCCCGCGGGGTGCAACTTAATGAGCTTCCTGTGTTGGTTCCGCTTTTAGCGCGTAACTTGGCGTCCTTCTTGCACTCCTAGTTTCCAATCCTCTTCCTCTTTTCCTTTCTCTCTCTCTCTCTCTCTCTCTCTTTCTCTATTCGACCTTCTGTAGAAAGAGTCTTTCCTCTTATGGTAACTCAGCAACGATCTGCAGGCAAGCAACGACAAGGACGATTTGTGCATGCGTTTCGAACGTTTGAAAACGATCCTTCTGTACGGTCTCTGAAAAGCTTGTCAAAGCTAGACAGAAATTAGTTGATGTACGTCTCTCTGACGTCAAGGTTCTCTCTTTCCTATTCGACCTATGCTTAAGTTTATATGCTCGAACTATGTTACTGTAATAGTTGCACTCGATGAGAATCCCAGTACACAGAGAGAGAATAGAGAGAGAGAGAGTTTTAATTGTGAATCTGTACAAGAGATTAGGAGAGAGAGATAGATAGAGATGAAAGAAAATTTAAAGATCATCTATCCTGATAACTCGTTCAAATCGAAGAAAGTAAAGATAAACGAAAGAAGAAATACGAAGAAATGCGTGCCTTTTCTCAGAAAAGAAAGTGAGAAGAAAGTGAGAAGAAAATACGAAGAAAAGGCGAACGAAGGAAGGGCTTTTAGGATTTCAAAGGAAGAAAAGAAAGAAAGAATGAAAGAAAGAAAGAAAGAAAGCGAGAAAGGCCGCGCTCATTAAACTTTATTAATTACACCGGAGTGTTCTCCTTGGCACCGAGGGCATGCTGTCTTTTTATTTCGTTTCTAATTCCAAGAGAGCAAGTTTTCATCGACTCGTTTTCGTCGACGACGACGACGACGATGCTCAGGCACGATTTCATCGGTTCGTATTTCCGTTGGATCATATGACACACATACACTGCACACCTATATATACATTTACGTAGACCCGTGTACATTGAGACACGGATGGACACACTCGCATACAATACGATCGCATACTTCACGTCCTGAATCTCTCGACACTGCTTTTCACCGAGTGACGAAACGAGGATTTTGTGGTCTTGTTGAGTACTCCCTAGCAATGTGCTAAGTTATCCTCGTTTAAGCCTCTTTACGAATCTATCCTCTTCTCTTTTTTCTTTCACTTTTTCATCATCATCATCATCATCATTATCATCCGCTTTATCTATCTTTTAACATTTCGATACTGTTCTTATTTACTATTCTCTTTTGTTTTCCATCTTTCAATCTCTATTCTCTTCTATCCTCTTCTTTCTATTCTCTATTCTTCAACCACTTTCGACAATTGACCTGATTATTTCTTAATTGTTATTTATTGGGTCAATATTTCTTAAAATTTTGACTAATCATTTTTACTTAACAAAATATACTGACCATATAAATAGCAGCGTTACTTCTCCATCATTTGATTCCTAATCGTCGTATATCCCTGCTCCATCAGGATTAACTATTACTGCCAAGGATTCTTGTTACCGACTGTTTCGATAACGTGTATCGTCGATTAGAACAAGCCATTCCTACAAACCCCAACTATACCATGACCAAGCTAATTGGATTATACAATAGTCAAACTGATACACTAATTCCTACATCGGTATTATTTTTAATCTTATATTCGATTCATTAAAAATAATACAAAAATTAGATTTTTGAGCCCATATTGTTAAATCGTTCGAGAAATCATTCAGTTATTTTACGAGATCATACACGGACATTAATCAAGATCATAAATATTTTATCCTTTTCTTCTTTCCCTTTCATTTTAGACAAGATTTCGACCAATTTAATATTTGATTTGATAGCAGATTTATGGAGATTCTTCGAACTCCAATATTTACTCTTACGAATATCTGGACGATCAATGGCTGCTGTCGAAAAATCACGTCGGGATATATTTCTAGATAGATAAATATTTAATGATCTTGACGGGGGGGAAAAAAAACAAAGGAAGAATTTGATTTCGGTAA